CCACCTATAGTGGATTGGAGGTAGCTTTCCTGTGAGACGTACACCGTAATTCTCCTCTACGGCAGATAGATCAGTTGGTTTGCTTTGTATTTCGGAAGAGCTTTTACTAATTAAAATCCTACTGAATAGCATCGACTAATTTTGACCTCGCAGTAAACATGCAATATAGTCCTCAAGAATGTTGAAACCTAAGCGAGGTGGTTACGCCGGAGTGTTTCAGAGGTCTCGCCCTCCCTGGCAGTGGCCCACGCCTCACATCAAGCCTTGCATTGTAGCAAGGAGGGAGGCGTATGTGGCTACACCCACAATGTACAAAAACATCCTCATGAATTATATTGAATCTTTATTGTGAGGTTTCAAAAACAATCAATGCTATGGATCATTTTGAATCTACCAGCCGCAATCCATCAACTGAAAAGCGGTGAAGGCCCAATGTCATCGTACGTTCTACTGTCGCTACGTACTCCTCCCTCCTTGCTACAATGCAGGGCTTAATGTTTTTTTTGTTTGTATGCACGTGATTTGGTTTTTCCAGATTTTTTTCCATTAATTTTTTTATTTTTCGATTTTTAGAGCGTTTTTCCGTGATCTCGAGTAAGAGATGTCTGATACTATTCCACTAAAAGTCCACTTTCGATCTCGGCCCATTCAACGAGAAGGAGCGTCTCAAGAACCGAATCAAATCAGGTGCGCTTCTTCACACTGATTTTTGTAGACTTTGTTAATTTCGGTCTTTTTTTCTAACGTTTTCCTACTAAAAGGCTCCTGGGAGTTCTTGCTTGAAGAAAATCTTCATTTGCTGAATGATGCACAATCTTTGGTATTTTCTTCTACCTCAGAATAAACCCAATTTTTTTTTCTCACTCGTTCCCAGCGGAGTATCTAAACCAGCGACGGGTTCATCTTACGGGTTTCTTAGATTATTTCTAGAGATAGCTCTTTTTCTCGGTTTACGACTCTGCTGTGGCCTTTAACTCGATGTATTTATTTGGATTCTGATCTGGGGTTATCTCTTCCTCCCTCATTGACTTCGTCTTCTCACAACTCATTAATTAGCTTCTCAATCATCGTGACCAAGTCCATTGTAATATTGTATATAATTTTTTATCATCGTAACTTATTAGTGTTGTCATCATTACTGGAATGTTTGCTCAAACCTTCCATGAGGTTGGCACTCTATATTCTTGATAATGTTGGTGATGTTTGTATATTATAGGTTCTTTGTCAATTAATCTAAAAAGCTTATAAATTAATTTTTAATCAAAGTTAAGAAAATAATTCCTGCCTATTTGTTCCATTCTTCTTTGTTTTCTTTGTGGAAAAGCGTGTGAAAGCCCAGTGGCTAGAGGTGTATTGCGACACACACGACAATAGTTTGATCCCAAGTCTTACCAAGCTCTTCACCTTTTCCAGGGTCGGTATATTGAAAGCAGGCTTATCAAGGAGGATATCAGCACTGATTTGATGCATCAATAGGCCCACCGAGCGTTATTGTAAAGTTCGGACGAATTCACGCGACTTCTCGTCAACTAGTCAATAGAAAGTATGGGAAAACTTTTGGTAGGAAATCGTGTAAGTCGCTATGAAGCACGATGCACGATTAAGTAGACAGCTTTCATTCTGTCCTTGGCGAGATCAATTTTGGACATCCATTTATTGAGATGTAGGTGTGTTACCCTTCTAGCGACCTGTTTTTCGAGACCTCGCTTGAAATTCGGTATAACCTGATAGCATTTTATAGGCATTTGAAAGGTCTGATATCGCACTTATAGTGCTAGACATACGTTTTAGCTTTTATGTCATACCCGCATCAGTATCACATGCCACTGACGTCGACTGTCACTGGTATGCCAGGTGATTTTTTCATCGAGCGTGACCTCTGTCATGTCCGGCCTCGATTCCCTTATACGTAACGGCTGGGTTGAACCGAAAGGTATGTGCAACCAATAAGGTTTGGCATGAAAGCCGATATTTACGTCTAGTATTATAAGCGTCTAATCAAACTTTTGAAAGGCTTAGAATGTGCTATCAGATCACGTAAAATAACTAAATTATCGGACACTTCTCCCTCAAAATTATTCGTAGCGCAACGTTAATGAAATTATCTACTGCGGTTTGCCACGTATTTGTTCTTTCGTTTGCTGATTCACCCAAAAATATAGGATCCAATGAAATGATCAGTGCTTCAGATCTCGCCTCACTTCCTCTAACTGTACAGAAGTGGGATGCGACATGCTTTCGACTTCAATTTTTGACTTGTTTAAGGTGACTGAATGCATATCTGGCCTTTACAATGACTCGCAGTGGCCTCCCGCTGAACTGAGTCAGTGCTGCTTATCCTCCCAGACAAGTCTGAGACCTGCCTGCTACCAATTTACCGACCCCACAAGGATGGAGGGCTTGGTGAGCCATGAGCGCGAGATCGAACCATTGACCTCGTGTGCGACGCAGAGCACCTCTAACCACTGCGCAAAAGGGCTATATATATAGCACGATTGATGTTCTCGAAGGTGGTCTATGCGTCACGTCCCAAGTCGTACTCGTAAAGGAGGATACTGTGACGAAGGATTCGTTGAACGGCCATAATGCGGCAAATATGGTCAAATTCGGCATCAAAAGGAAGCTGAATTCTGCACTAAGCAATAGTGAATTATTTCCTGGAAAATGACCTGTATTCAAGCCAGAGGCGCATACTTTGAACAGTTCTGTCGAGAAATTTTGATTACTACTGGTTAATAAATTTGGTGTTTATTGCTCTAGTGCCAAAACTAGTGGGAAAACCTAATATCTGTTTCGTCTGATTATGACTGGATTCAGACAAACTTCAATTGTCAGAAGTGGAACGGTGGAAATTTATACAGCTTTCAATTCAACGATTTTCACAGCACACAACAAGATTCTATGCGGAAGAGTTTCGAGCCCAATTTATTCAGCTTCTACAGCATAATGATGCTCCAACAATTGGTCGACATCACTGCGAATTATAACTCGTCGATAAACGCAAACCACCAATACTCAGTAATTGAAGCGTTTTGATTATGTTCTGGCAACATTTGTTCTCTTCATGGATTTTTTCTAGGACTGAAAAATTAATCATTGCATTTTCAGTGCACAAAAGTCACTAGAAACATTTTCAGATGGAAATACACCATTGCAAGATGTTTAGTTGCTCCACATCGTATGAATGTTACGCCGGACGCCGTCCGTTGGCGCACAGAATCCATATTCCACAACTAAATTCGACATTTTCAAAGCGAGAAATAGTCACGACTTAATTGGGAAAAAGACAATATAGCTTTTCAGACAAATCTGGTTTCAGATATATCCCATGATGTTGAGTGATGTGCAAAACTTTTGCGTCAGACGGAACTCGAACCCGCCTTTCACCTTGTCCGGGGGCGCGTTCCCTAATCCTTTGCACTACCGACGCCTACTTTGCCACCATTCTTTCTACACTACAAGGCATCTATTTATAACACAATACCACCGCTAAAGCGATCAAATGAAAAGAACCCTGTCTGATCATCCATTACTCAAATCTGTCAGCATGACTGCCTTCAGTGTAGATATCGACTGCCAAAGCCAAACCGTTGACGGTCGGTTGCTAACATAGAAATGCGCTGTAGCGTAGAATGGTGTCAAAACAGGAGTCGGTAGTGCAACGGTTCGAGCATGCGCTCCCGGATAGGGTGAAAGGTGGGTTCGAGTCCCAGCTGACGCAAAAGTTTTGCACAGCAGTCTATATCAATGGGTATATTGCGTCTTGATTGAAAGCACCACCTTAATTACCTTAATAAGAAAATTAACAAATAATCACAAGAGGTGTGAGACCTAAACTGCAGAATGCATTCTTTTCAGACCGTTCATAAAATGATTAAAAGAAAAACTCGATGGATGTGGGAAAAATTGCATCGTAGGACGTGTACGAGATGCGAGTCGTCGGCATTTCGTTCATGCCCATACCTCGCTATTGTCGCAGTGATAAGATCGGCCAGATTCAGCATCAGTTGAATTGGACCCTCCTTTACGGCTTCCAAAAGTTACCAATAGACAGATTCAATAGGAATTATTACCGTATAACCAACCACTATGACACAGTTTTTGACAAATGGGCCTTGCAACTACTTTGAAACAAGCCGATATTGGCGAATGATGCGTTTGCGGGTATGTGTATGCGTGTGTGACTAAGATGAAACGCGAAGCCAAAGCCAAGCATAAGCTTAAACCGAAGCCATAAGCCCTAAGCCTAAGCCTAAGCTATATGCTAAATAACAATGTGAACAGGTGAAAAAAATGTTGCGGATTCGATAAATTCAGTATAACAGCGTTCCCATATCGCTATAATATCTTCTGTTTGCAAAGCGAACTAAAACGAATTTGATGGGAAAACGGGTGGACCCTCTGCGTTCGTATGTAAGTGAATTAAAATATTTCCAAGAACTCTTATTTTCTAGTGCTTTCTCGCAGTGTAATGATGTTTGGAAAAATACCTAAGAGAATTGAGTGGTGAGCAAAAATCCGACCTCAGACGAGAGTCGAACCCTCGTTTCATCCATACCGGAAAGTTTGCCTAGCGATTTTCATAGGTGTTTGAACTGAGTTGTGAAAACCTGGAGTGAAACAAAATGCTCCACTAAACGTACGCAAATCAAAGACAAACGAAATTTTCTAAGGGTCACTATTATCAGACATGATCAAAACATTTGCGTTAAGCACTTTGAAAGTCATTTAGATAAGTTTTAGAAATCCAAGATTGAATCAAAAGGAGAAGCGCCCTTTGATCACCTGTGATCTCCGGGATCTCAGGCTGATTTTGTCTACCCAAACCGCGCAAGCCTTTCTAGGTCAAGTCTTCAGTAGCCGAAAGTCAGAAGGAAAATACGGTGTCCAGAAAGATTGTTGGCTATGCCACGAGCCCCATTTTTTTTTTGCTATTTAACAGCAGTGTCATGGTGTTATAACTAGTGGTGTGGAGTAGTGTGCAACTAGTGGTGTGGAGTTGCATCAGGCGGGACTCGATCCCGCGCCTTACTCTATCCAGGGGCGCGCGCTCTAACCCATTGCACTACTGACGCCCGTTTTGCCACGCTATAACACATCTATCTGTCAGCAACCAGCCGTCAACGGTTTGGCCCAGGTAGTCGGTATCGACATTAAACCCAGTCACGCTGACAGATACTGGGTATTAGATGATCAGATAGAATTCTTTTTATTTGATCGCTTTTAGCGGTGGTATGATGTTATAGGTATACCCAATAATGCAAAATGATATGTAAGACTTTTTCGTGTCAGGCGGGACTCGAACCCGCAATTCACTTATCCGGGAGCACACATTTAATCCATTGCACTACTGGAGCCCATTTTGCTATCATTCTTAGGAAAGTTTTGCACATCACCCTACATTACAGGGTCTATAACATCATATCACCGCTAAAAGCGGTCGAACGGAAAGCAACCTCTTTAATGTTTCAAAACATTTATCAAAGAATTTTGAGTGATATGTAAAATCAAGCCATGGTCGGGACTGGAACCAGTACTTCACCATTTTTTGAGGGTACGCGCTAACCACTGCATCACCGGGACTCCTGCTCTGCTATCAGTCTTTTTGCTATCAAGGTGTCGAAGGTGTTACCAGCCAACCGTCAACGGGTTTGAGCTAGGCATCAGCAGAACAGGCGACCTAGTAGCGCAGTAGTTAGCGCGCACCATTAAAACGTTCGAGTAAGCTCATCGAAGAAGCAGTGAGATACGGTACTCGTCCATTATAAGGCGACAAATGAATGTTCCACCCCATTCGCTGGACAAGAATTTTTCTTAAAAGTGTTTATAACCAATCGAAAGCTTAAAACTCTGGCTACCGGCGGTACATGGCCGTTCTGATAAATACCATTTTTTAAGGTTGTTAAAGAAGAAAAAAGTTTGTGTTTCACATAAGCACTTTTCTTGCACGACAGAGCTCTTTCCTTTCACTATTAGTAATCATTCGATATCATTTTATCCAAGGATTTCAATTCTATGCTTATTTTCTGAAAAAAGCTTTTCTCTGTAGCGTAGCAGCGACAATAACATCGAGTTTCACACATCTGGCTGGCTTGTTTACAGGCTAGTTTATAGTCGAGGGGTATGATGGCCGCAGATTCGATGCTGCGACTGGCCACGATCAACCGATTGGCGCTTCAGATAAGATGATTTTTGTCATTCGATTAGGGATTTTTTCTGCATTCCCAAAGCATCTCCAGATCAAACGCATGACTCAAATACTAGAAAAATTTTCTTTACACGTTCATGTGCTTCTTCTGCTTCCAGCGTAGTAACAATTGAATTGCGCAGCCGATGTGAAACATAATGTTATTTTGAATTTTACAGCGTTATGGAAGCGTCTTCTGAAAAAACCGGCCACGTACCGCACTAGCCAGAGATTTAAGCTTTCGAATGATTACTAATACTCCTATGAAAAGTTCTTGTCCAGTCGTTGAAGTCGAATAACCATTTGTCGCCTTATAGTGGACAAGATCCTGACATGTATATCACAACGTAGTACTATTGGCTATGCAGTCCCACACATCTCTCCCGATAAATTTGAGCGTAATGCCTAACTTTTCTAAAACCAGCGACTAAGTGTCGACGCACTTGAAAGTCAATGATCGATCCGAATGTGAATCAGATAGCGCTCACAAAGTTGAATCCACTCCGATTGTCGCTGTCCGAGGCAGAGCTGTTCACGACAGCAATTCAAAGTCTTATGCTTCGTCTATAAGAATGTATGCGTAGCTTTGTGAAGCACTGTGATTAGAGGTGCTCTGCGGCGCCCACGAGGTCGATGATCTCGCGTTCATGGCTCACCAAGCCATCCATCGCCGGGGTAGGTAAGTCGATACCAGACTGGTCTTAGACTTGTCTGGAAGGATCAGCAGCACTGACTCGATACAACGGGACTCCCCGCAAGTTATTGTAAAGACCGGATGAGCACTCAATCATCTCAAACGAAATTAAAAATCGAATACACTTGCATGGCGTTTTCTCAAGGTTGATCAACGCCGAGAGCTTTCTCCGTTATCCTTTCATGAAATATTTTGGGTTCCCAGTGATGTGGAGTGTCGTAGAAAACTTTCGCGTCAGCTGGGATTCGAACCCGCATCTGTCTATCCGAACTTCCTCGAAGGTAATTAACAACACCTCCATCGCCTAATGAAATAACAAAAATTTCTAGTCTTCAACGAGAGCCATTCTCTTACTAGTGACCACAAGGAACTTTTCTAGAAATTGTTTCCCGATGAACAAATCCCTGAAACTAATTTTATATGGTCATCATAACGCGTTGCCCTTAGAACCCTCTTCAGACCATGTAAGACCAACCTAAACCCTAATGCAAACACAATGATGGGTTAAAGAAGAAACGTCAAAGCACGCTCCCATAGATATAGATAGATAGAATTTCCAAGTTTTGAAGATGGATTACAATCTTCATTAGATGAAAAAAACTAAGCAACCTCCAAGCGTGCAGGAAATGACGATCGTAAGAGGGAATTGTTCTTTTCCAATTGGTAGCACAGATTTCCAAGCCTATCCCTTACGCTGAATAAGAACTTTTCATGAAAAGTGTTAGTAATCTTTTGAAAGCTCAAATCTCTGGCTAGCGCTGTACGAAGCCGGTCTTTCTAAAAACCCTTTTATAACGGTGTGAAATCCAAAATAAAACTAGGTTTCACATTGGCCACGCGGTTCAAATGTTACTTCACTGGAAGCATATGAACGTGTAGAGAAAACCTCGTAGTATCTGAGTTAATGGTTTGATCCATAGCTTCTTTCAGAGAGGAGAAGCAATTCCTAATTTAATAACAAACATCGCACTTTCATTTGAGAAAATCGGTCCGGCATCGCGCCAGCCCTCTTCGCCGCGCATTCCGTGAACTGGCAAGAAATATATTACCCGCGCGTGCGAATCAAACTACTTTTCCCTGGTACACTGCAGTGAAACGGTCTTTTCAGAAATAATCATACCACTGTAATCAGCAAATCCTACGCTATCGAATGATTACTGTCAGTCTAAAGAAAGAGTTCTGTCTTGCGAGAAAAACGCGTGTGTGAAACACAAATGTTTTCTTCCTACTATAGCATTTTAAAAATGATTTCTCTCAAAAAACGGCTACTATAGCGCAGCCACATAGTTAAGCTTTCAGATGTTTACTAGCACTCTTCAGGAAAAATTCTTCTCCAGCGTAAGGGATAGGGTTGAAAATCTTTGCTACCAAACGGAAGAGTACTCAGGAGATCAAATAATTTTATAAAGCAGCAGCACAAGAGATCAATGGCTCACTTGATGTGAGAGCACACAGCTACCGGTGCACCCTTCTTCGCCTTTTCAACGTTCTTGGTTTAGCGGTCGCCTTCATCTTTGTCGCGACTTTCTGTGATGACTGTGCAGATTTAGACCCTGGCTTGACAGCTTTCTTAGGATGTCTTGAGGACTTCTCCCTTCTTCCTTCTCGACCATTTTGTTCTGGAACGATCAAATACACACATAGGTAAAAGGAAACCGGATCTTTTCCCTTAGACGGCGACATATGAATATTCGACCCCATTCGCTGGACAGGAACTTTTCAAAAGAGTGCTAGTAATCAGTCGGAAGCTTAAACATCTGGCTAGCGCCCTACATTGCCGGTTTTCGACAACAGCCTTTTGTAGCGCTGTCTAATTCAGAATAAAATTATGTTTCACACCTTCCACCACCTTCATTTCTCTCATGTGTACCATTCGCTGGAAGCACAAAAAGCATATGAATGGGTAGAGAAACTACCGTAGTATCTCAATCAATCGTTTTATCTGGAGCTTTTTTCAAAGCAGAGAAAAAATTCGCAATTGAATAACAAGTTGCACCCCATATACCCAATGACCAGGGCATCGATCGATCGCCCGCCTCGCATCCTGCAGATTAACTGGTAAATGAGCTCGTCGAATGTGTGAAACTCGATATTATTTTCCTTACTACACTGCAGTGAAATGGTCTTTTCAGAAAATAAGCAAAGGGTTGGAATCCTTGGGTCCACCGTTATCGAATGATTACTAATAGTCTAAGGAAATAGCTCTGTTAGGCGAGGTGTAGAACACAACTGTTTTTTTTTTCCTCCTACAGCGCTATCACAGGAGCTTTCCAATAAGCAAGAAATTTATGAGTTTTTCGAGACTAGTGCTATCGAAAGAGTACTAGCAGTCTGAAGAAGGATTTTTGTCCAGTGAAACATGAGCGAGAGATGAGAAAAAAAGAACGAGTGGCCATGTGAAACAGAATTTTGTTTTTTATTTTACAGCGTTATAAAAGGGTGTTTTGAAAAGCCGGCCACGTACCGCGCTAGACAGAGATTCAAGCTTTCGAATGATTACTAACACTACCATGAGACCTTCCTGCCCAGCGAATATGGTCGATTATTCATTTGTGTACGGATAAGCGAAAAGAACTAGAAAACGAAATTACATCAGAATCGGTAGATACTGTCATACACATCACCTGCAATATCACTGCACCAATCCATGAGATCCATGAGAACTTTCCTCTTGAATCCAACCCATTAGATGTAAACGATGCAAAAGTGCTTGTTGAGTTACGCTAAGTTTAGCGGCTAACTTTCCCCCGCTTGGCAAACATTATCGCCTAGAAAATACTCGCAATTTTTCGTTTCTAAACCCATAAGCGACGACGTGTGCTAAATGAGGAACAGGACCATTTGAAAGTCCTTCTAGCTGGATGAAACCTCCCCAAAGACATTCGGTAATCATTCGAAAGTTTAAATCTTCGTGACTTCAAAAAATGTTTGATGTCTGGAAAAGCCTTTTTATCACGTTTTAGCAGCGAAGATAAGACTATGTTTCACACTCAGTTTACTTTTCTTGTTGGGTTGGGGCTCATTTATGGCTTTTTGCCAAACTCTTATTAGCCATTCGATGGCTCAAATCTCGAGGATTTGTATACTGTGATTGCTTTTTTGTAAGGTTATCACAAAACACCGTAAGAGCGAAAAGAAGACTACGTTTCGCATCAAAAGTGTTATGGTACAGAAAAAATATATATGCACGAAAA